CATTTCCAATATGAGACCAAAAAAAGCCCAACTCATATTTTATTTATTTATCCAAAATAGTTTGAATTATTCATTAAAGTCAATGTAAGTGTGTGAAAATACAAGGTGTTTCAAGAAGCAGTATCATTAGGAGGAATTAATCATTTGGCAATATTAATTTTCTAACAGATTAACGATTTTTTTTTTTTTCAGTGAGGATATTTTTTCCACATCAAACTCTTCAGGACAGGCAACTTTTTGTACATACTCTTGGCCTGAATACAAAGGAGATGGGACAGTATTTCTGTATATTTTCCTGTTCTCTCTGTGGTTTTTTTTTCAGGCCAATCATTACCCCCAATCAAGGCATGGCCTGTGTAACCTCATGCTTATTTTCTCAGTTCTTATTTTTTTCATAAACTTGGAGATGCTTTGGCATCCCTTCTTTGGGACGAAGGGTGTTTGTGGTGTGACTTTGCCCATCCGTGGCCTCTGCAACTTCTCTCACCTGTGTTGTGGAACAAGATCAAATACAGGAATTCAAACAGGTTCTCTAAATACACAGATTCTAATTTTCAAATACTGTCTTTTAAAGATGTAATTAAACCTAATTCTCCAAACCTTGGGAAAGATCTGAATGGATGAAGATGCTCAGTTTTCTGTGGGTGGTAGATAAAAGGGGTGAGCACATCAGTGCTGTCACTGCTGCACCTGACCCATCCCAAACGGATCTCCCTCTGTTCCATGGCCTCTGTGCCTTAAACACTGCTCTGGAACAGCTGAGTTGCACTCTGTGCAAGTGATGACTTTTAAATCAATTTTTCCTGACTGTGCTAGAAATTTGGTGGGAATTAGTGGTATTAGGTGAGGCTTAAGAATTAGCGTTTTCACAGCTTTGGATTCAGAGCAGAGCAAACAATGTGCTGCCTTCTAGCTTAACATCTTCACTTGATGGGGGACATATTAGAAAGATTAATTACTGTCCCCAGGTCTGTGCATATGCTGCTGTCCTGCTGCCTGGGTGCAGGGAATCTGTGGTGCCAGGTCTGTACTTGGACAGACCCATGGTGCAGAGAGGTTCCACAGATACCCTAAAATTAAACATTCTTTGTCATTTCAGACACCCCAAGGTGTCCGAAACGTTGTCCTGTGGCTGGCTGGTGCTATAAATGAGAGACAAAAGTCTCGATATTCAGCAAAATTCAGATTGCTTTATTTGATATAGAAAGAGCAAGCAGCGCTGGGGAACGGGAGGGGTCAGTGCCCACTCCACGCTCCACCCAACCTTGGTTTGCAGCCTCTTCTTATACTGTGGGTTCTCGGTGTAATCAATAATTTTTGGGTTATCGTTTTCATAAGCAGTGGTGGTTGAATAAACATCCTTACACAAATTCACAAAGCCTTTGGGTGATAATCAGTCACAGATAGCCATCTGGTCCTTGTAGATAACCACAAGGGAAGTTCTGGGAGTCTGGTTTTTGGGATAGGCAGCATTGATCAGACAAAGGCAGGAAGGGCTTTTTGGGAAGTCTGATTTTGCAAGCTGGTAGCTGATATAACTTATTTGGAAAACATAACATAACATAATGTAACATAATACAACATAATATAACATTACAAGGTGATTTTAAACAGAATTATTTTATCATATAATTTCCTTTATCTAGTGTCCATGCTTCACTTCAGAGCTTAGTATTGTGGTTTATATAAACCCCAATGCTTTTGTGATGAACACGAATCTTTTATCAATTATCACACTGGTATCATACAGAACCTGCAGGATGCTTCTTTCCTGCAGAAGTGTGGTGGAAAGGTGTGAAAGATACCCTAGGACATCTTGAATGGCTTTGTTTCCGCAGTGGGATCCCATCTGACTTCTCTCAAGTCTCCGTTTACCTTCCTCTGAGGTTGCTCTGCCATGGATCCAGCTCATGGTGTGCTTGCTTGGTTGTGCCAGCAGATCCCTCAGTGGAAAGCAGGGGAGCAGGCACAGTGCTGAGCGCTGTCCTGAGTTAAACCAGGAATAGCCGCGGGTTGAATTGTTCCCAGGGGATAAACACTGCGGGAGGGAGGCACCAGCTGGGCTGTAGCTGAGCTGCTGAGGACGGCGGCTTAATTGGGCGTAAAGGAAGAGCAATCTCTGTTTGACAGTCAGGGTTCAATGGACCTTTCACTGGGGGCAGCTGCAAACATTCCTGCTGTGTCCCTGTGCCTGCTTGGGTTTATTCCTGCTCTGTCCCTAAGCCAAAGAACCCTGTTGGGCAGTTGCTAATGGAGTCAGGGAAGGGAAGAGAAGGCTTTATCCCACCCCTGGCTGGAGCTGGCACATTCAGCTGCATCTCCATCGGCAGTTCCTGAGTTCAGCACCTTGTGCCAGTGGCTGACACAAGGCATCTCTAACGAGCAGATCAGTTTTTCATGCAGATGAATTCCTGCAGCCAGGACACCAGCAGTGCTGCAGGCTCTGGAAAGAGGGCCAGGAGGAGCAGCAGGGAGGTGGCAAGGGCACACAGTCGGGGGTGGAGGCTCCCTGGTACTTCAGTTACACTGGAAAGCCCCAGATTTCTTGCATAAAAGACTGACTGTAGTCAAAGTTCTTCCTTTCTCACCCTGAGGGTAGTGGAGGGAAGCAGTTGCCATCACTCAGTTGCTATTGCAGCGTCAGAGTTGTTTAACTGGGCCAGTGCTGCTGGGTGGGGGTTGGTGGCCCCTGGCAGAACCAAGTCTGAGAGACAAAACAGTGGAAAAGGCACTAACTCTTCATGAATAACGAAAGCTGTTCAAGGAGTTAATGAATTAGGGTGCCATCCACCTCCAAGGTTATAAAAGTTGGGAAAGGCAACCTCTAAGATGGAGTAGGAAGAGGCAGATTTACTTTTCCAAGGCTAGGCTGCATTTGTTAGGGAAAAAAAATATTGCTGTTGGACATGGGCAATATATTAAAGGCAGAGCTGTTTCTGACAGTGACGAAATGTTATTTACCACTGCAGTGTGGTCACTGAATTTTTACTTTCGTCTATAGGATTTTGTCCTTAACAGTTGCATAGCTAAATGAAAACTGAGAATATCCAGGTCAGAGCCACCCATTAACCTCCCAATTTCAGAGGCTGATTACTTGATTAATCAAAGACCAGTCCCAGCTGAGATGATGGGGAAAGGGCTGTAATAATCCAGAGAAGGGTTGAGTTAATCACACAGTAATGAGTTGCTGTGAGTGGGAAGGTGAGTGGTCAGAAAAGAGCCTTTTTGAGCTCTTGAGAACAGACTGAGTGTAAGACATAACCCTTTGGGCCATTAAGGGTGCTTTGGATATTCTCTGCTTACTTTACATCCCCCTACAATTGGGGGGTTCCCTGGATAGCAGGGTTTTAATGAACCAACTGGTGATGTTCCCCACAACTGGTTTGCTCCCCTTCATAAAGCAAGGTGCAGCTGGGGGATGCCCAGGGTAAAGGCAAACATTGCTTGTACATCACCACCAGAAGCTGCTCAGGAAGGTGGGGCTGGAATAGCTGAAGTGGAGGAGCTGGCCAGTGTTAAGGCTCCCTGTGTGGATGCTCTCACTCAGAAGTAAAGGGACATGTAGTTCTCTTTAACCATTAAAGAGTTCCTGTCCTTGCCTGGGGATTAAACTGAGTTGGATTAAGGCCAAAGCACTTCTGAGCAGGGGCGTCCTCAGTGGTATTTAAGGCACTTTAACTTAACACATTGAATTATCCTTCCACCCCCAGTGCCTAACCAAAGCAGTACAGGGGATGAGAGGTGAGTGGCATTCTCCTGGTGTGCCTGCAGCTGCTCAGAGGTGAATGTCACTGGCAAGTCCATGGCCTTGCAGTTTCCATCCTACATCCTCCCTGCACTGTGCCTGGGAGGCCAATGGAAACACTTCCCAGCAAGTACTCAAGCAAAAAAATTTCCTGCTCACTTGGGAAGCAATAATGTTTTAGTATGGGCTCTATAAACCCAGCCAAAAACATTCCTCATATTCCAGCAGTCACCTTGCTCTGAAGTTCCTACTGTCCTGCTGCTAGACCTGAACTAGCTAAACTAAAGACATATGGGCTACAAATGCTGCAATTATGTCTCTGATCACAGCACAAAGCCTTAAACCTCAGAATGACAAAGAGCTATTCTACTGAGGGAGCCTATTTGTTTGCTGTTAGAAAGAGTCAGGATTTTTCCTAACCCTGGACTGCAGTGTTGATAAAACAGGCTGACTTGGAAGACATCTCTAGTGTATATTAAAGTAAAGCCAATCTCTGTAATTAATGGGATGATAAATCGAGGTTTAATTACTCAGAAGGCACCTTGGGTGAAAGATTCATGGTAATTGTTGTGTATCCTCTTGAAGGATTCACAGTACTGGCAGCTCCCTTTGTAGCAATAAAACACAGGGTGAGTGGCAGGGAATCTCCCAGGACCTCTCTGGTAGGGACTAGTCCAGTTAAGGTAGCAAATGTAAAGAGGCAGAGGTGCTCTCCAGGCTTTTTATCACAATAAAAACCCCTTCCCAAACCTTGAGGGATTCCTAAGCAGCGTGTCAATTTGAAATCAAAGCACTTACCTCAAATCTCTTCCATTGGAGGAGATTTCCCTTGTAGGCAGCTTCCTCCTGATGCAGCCATACCAAGGTGTATTTTGGACTATTTTTCCACTCTTATTGCTTGTGTAGAGGAACACCCTTCTCTTGGGTTCCTCGCAGAAAACAAGACGTGTGCATGTGGGGAAAGGGATGCTAGAGCTTTGAATTTTTGTACTGTGTTGTTAAAAGACTGGCTGAGCAAAAGAAAAACTCCATCCCACCAAGACATGTCTGTTTTCCTTACTCCCCATTTTACTATCTTTTTGGTCTCCTGGGGCCAGGAGAGGCATCCAGCTTGCTTGTTTCCTTACTCTGCCTGCTTAATTCACTTTTTAATTAACCTTTTCAATTCACTCAGTTTGGCTAGCACTCTAAGTCCAGCACAAGGGCTCTGTGCCGGTGACATATAAGACAGTACCCATTTTCTTCCTTTACCCAGAGCTGAAGAAGCAAGTGGAAAGTGCAGAACTGAAAAACCAGCGCCTGAAAGAAGTTTTCCAGACCAAGATCCAGGAGTTCCGCAAGGTGTGCTACACACTCACGGGCTACCAGATCGACATCACCACCGAGAACCAGTACAGGCTCAGCTCCATCTATGCCGAGCACCAGGGGGACTGCCTGCTTTTCAAGGTAGGTCTGTGCACCCCTGGCTGCACCTGCTTCTTTGGGTTCATGGTTTTCAACGTGCCACGGTGTATTTGTTCTTTCTCAGTGATTAGACTGGAAAATCACTGCCCCCTGCTACGTGGCAGTGTTCCTCGTGAGGGAAGTAAAGATCCTTTCTTCTGTGAAAAAGTAGGAGGTTTGACATCTGGTCCCCCACTTATATATCAAAGTCTGGAGTAAAGAGAGGAGACTTTCTATGCATAATACCTCAGGCATCTGGCTTGGCACTTCACCTTTTTATATTATCAGTTATATGCCGCAGTAATAAAACCTTATGTAACCATCAAGGTTCATCATTACTCCACTATGAGATATATGTCCCTATGTTTTTTTTTTACCATCCTCCAGCTTGTCTGCATGTCATCATCTTGTCTTTATGTAAATTGGAATCCCTTTTGAGCAGCAGCTCATCCTGGTGTGTGTGAAGTGCCATTTCTGTGAACGGCACAGATGAGCAGCAATAACAGTCTGTCTTCTGGGCTGCCTGGGTGGGCTGTGAGGTTGGGGCTTGATAGAGGGGCTGTTTTTCGGCTGTGTTGCCTTCTGGCTGGCAAACTCGGGCTGATGACTTAGAGAGCTGAGATGTGACATTAGAAGTCATAAAAATGTTAAGTCCTGTCTTTAGATTGGTTCAAGTGCCAACAGCCCAAGTTTACGGGTCAGTGGGAGAACTTTGTTCTTCTCTGTGGCAAACACAACAGCACTTAAAATCATACTTGCCTCCCATGATCCTCCCTAGGGCAAATCTCCTTTATGAAGGGGTTTGGAGGTGTTCAGTACAGGAGGGAACTCTGTAGCAGGAAGTGGGAAGGTTCTGTTTCTTCAGACCTACAGCTGTGTGCCACATGTGGATGGTTGCCAGATTGTTTTTCTACATAATAGGACAAACATTTTCCTGTTCTGCAACTTCAGTGCCTCAGGGAAAAAAAAACAAACCAGCAAATAAAGCAGGTCAGGGTATGTATAAGACAGCACCTAGGATCTTTAGTAAAACTAGGAAAATATCCCCAAAACAGTCACACTGATTGGCCTTAGGAGGGTTCTGGATGACCTGAGGCACATGGCAGCAACAAAAGCAAGCTTAGTGCCCAGGGAAGAGAATAATTCTGTTGGTTTTAAGGTGCTGCCATTTAATCCTGAAAACAGTTCTGTATTGAGATGGTGTAGTGCTGCTCTAACACCTCCAGAGACCTGTGCTCACACCTGTAGTGTTAAATATTTAATGAATGAAACTTCAGCGGACTCCTGGAGATGTCTGTTGGATGCCATGCTGGACAGTACAAGTTGCAGTTTTTTCTGCACCACAGAAAAGATGGCATGCTTGGAGAAAGTTAAGAAAATGTGAGAAAATGGTATGCTGGCCACATGAACCAGAACTGGCTGACAGCTCAGGAGCTTGTTGCTGGTAGAAGGAAACTCTCCTTGGTGAAATGGCAATATAAATAATTTATATGCAGGAGAGGGGATACTAAAGTACAGCTTTCTCTCTCTACACATTCTTGCTTTCTCTTCTTCACTCAAGTGTTTATTCCCAAGGAAGAAGGTGAGTGTCACCTGATAGAGAAGATTTCACATTTCTTAGACCCAAGAGTGGGTCATTTATTGATTCTGGAAATTCCTCAGCCTCTCTTACCTCATCACCTCTCCGGACAAGAGGAGCAGATTTGCTAATTACAACATGAACAAGAAAATTTCAGACTCTTTCTCCCTGTTCAGTAAATCGCAGACAATTCCCACCGACTGCAGCTTTGAATGGTAGTAGAATATAAACAACAAATTATTTCCTTGCTGAGTCCAGGCAGCTGGTTCTCATATATGTATGAAGGCTTGAATCCTGACTACAGCTTCCAGCAGGGTTGTGTGTTTATGCTGTGGAATTTCTGAGCCATAGCAGACTGTGGGTGTTTGTATGCATTTCATTAACCCAGAGAGGTCACAAAGCATGGATGCTATTTGTATTTATTCTATTCAAGCAGTTTATGGAACAGGGTCTATATAATTAAACCAGAGAAGTCCCTTGGCACTTTACAAGCTTCTGTAGTTCGGCTGTAAACTTTAAAAACATAATTCAGTAGCACTGCTGGTGGCATTTAATTTTAAGTGAGGGATACAGTAGGAACTCCTGTAATGTAACCCCTTCAAAGCTAAATGAAGATGAAAGATGTGCTTGGTTTTCCTGGCCAAGGTGTGCTGTTACTATAGTGGTGCTTATTATCTACCTGCTGGATGTGTCCAGCCAGTTTGCATTAATTGGGATTGCAGCTCCAGTGAAAGGGTTAATCACAGTGCTGTGCTGGGAATGCCAATGACTGCATCTATAAATGAGCACTGAATTCCAATGAAACCATACCAGTATTTATTGGTGATCCCTATCGGTGCAACAGATGAGCTCATCAGCTTGAAGGATGTCCCAGTGATGTTCAGCCCCTCTGTGAGTGCGTGGGCAGCAAGGCACATCTCAGGCTTCACAGCTCCTGTTTGTTTGTCCTTTTTATTGCTTCAATTAAACGCTGTGGAAAGGCTGTTAGAGATTCCTCACCAGGAGTTTAGATTCTGATGATTTTTTGTGGGCTGTAATGCATTGTAGCTCCTGGGGCACTTGACAGTTTCGTATTCCATTCCTGTTGCTGCTCCATTAGTTGTGTCCAGCCATGGCACAGACTTTGTGTTTCGTGTGATGCTTCACTGGTGTGTCTAGACCAGCCCACCCATCAGAAATCCAGGAACTGCCTTTGTAATAAGCCATTAAAGATATCTGTTAGAACAAGCAAACATTGCTGGGGAGCCTCCAGCTCAGAATGAGGAGGTGGCAAATCAGGCTGTCATTGCCTGGCCAGGCGCACATTGTGCTGTTTATCCTTGTCTCTGGCTGAGTCCTGAATGGGAGTAAGGAAATGAGGTCTTTAGAAAGGCAATGACAATTGTTTCAGACAAAGAAAGTCCTTCAGTAAACAGAAAGACTGGTCAAATTTGAAGAGGAGATGATTTGGAGACACTTGTACAAATGAACAAACAGCGGAAAGAAATTAAATCGCAGGCTTTTTTCTTTTTGTGTGCCTAAGGACACAGTCCCAGCTAAAGCATTTGAATTCAATCAATTTAAAAGAAAAAGAGTAGAAATCCTTTTATTTGATAGACCCTGTGGTTTCTAGGAACTACTGAGAGCAAGAGGCCACTGCATTTTCTAAAATATTAAGATATCTTTGTGGACAAATAATAATATCTAGTTTTACATTAAATATGTCCATTTACCCAAAGTAGGGACATCCAGAGCTCTTTGCTTGGAGATGTAAAGGCAACTCCTTTCTATAGAGGTTAGGAAGAGAATTCCCCTTCGTGCTGCTTATTTTTTGGCTTGGGTATAGATAAAGCGATTTTGCTGCTTCTGTGCTTGGCAACATTCCAAGTCCATCCTCTGGAAATGGGAATAAAGACTTGCATGAAGAAGAAGGAGCAATCTGTTCTTGATTACTCTCAGTGCTTCAGGTAAACTGTTTCCAGTGTTGCAGCATGAATGTGGGGCTGGTCACTTTGAAAAGATCCTGGGCTGGGCAGGTCACCAGTCTGATACTGTGCAATTGTCAATGTTTGCAGTCTGTCTGGTGTCAGATTCCTCCACTTTCTTAGAAAGGAGTGCTCAGATTTCTTGATAATTCATGCCTAAATTATTTGGGTCTGAATTGGTCGGGAAAGAAGTTAAACCAGACAAACCCTTTCCAGTGTCACAGTGGTGTTATGTGTCTGAGCTCATCAATAATCCTGGCCACAAGGCTGCCTTTAGACAGATATTTTCTATATCCTCAGAGCTTAGTCTTGCAGAGCACAGAATTCTCTCTGCTTCAACACGGTCTCACCCGTGTTGTTATTTTCTGTCAAAATTATCAAACAAAAACCCAAACACCAGCAGTAGTTCATTGAAGAGCATCCCCAGGTTGATAGGCTGTATTCCTTGAGAGAGAATACCCAAGATACCAGACAGCAAACAAAACCAGAAGCATCTTGACATAGCTTGAGAATGTGGCCTGCTCCAGAGCTGGCACTTCTTGCTGCAAAATAAAATCTTTATTGGTGTCCTGTTGGATTGGTAGTACAGTCATAAAATCAAGTAAAATCAACAGCTTTTCTACAACCTGATAAATTAAAAAGCTGTGCAAAGCTGGTGTGCTCACGCTGTCTTTGCACACCTCTTTAAGGAGTTAAATACAGAATTAATTTGCAGATCTGTAAGGGAAACTGTAACTTCAGGGCCACCTGAAAAGTGAACACTTGCTTCTGATGTAGATCACTGTGAGTTCAGGGGCTGAGCATAAGGGTGTAAAAAGGATATGGGATGTTTCTTTCCTTTGAGTGGAAGAAGGGCGTGGTAGAAGGACAGACACCACCCTGAGCTACCCAGTCCTCATTATCTTCCCCCATGGTTTGGGTACCTTGCTGTCCTCTTGCTTCTGTATTGGCCAGGAGTGTAAAACACAACAGGGCAGCAGTGTGCACAAGATGCAGTAGTTTAATTCTCGTCTTCACGAGGGAAAGGAGGCTGGATTGAACACGAAAGAACTTGGAGGCTGTTTTCCAAACACCAATTGATGCTGACAAGCTGCTGTGTGGAAAGGGGAGGCAAAACTTGTGTGGTCAAACATGCAGAGAGGGTCTGGTCTGCTGAGATTCCAGCACAGTCTGAGTACCAGTCTGGCCAGGGCACGCTGATGAATGATGTACAGCTCAGAATAAGCAGGATGGTTAATGCAGGGATTACTTTTATTCTCCTGAGTGCTCTTGTTTCATCTTGAAGCTGACAGCACTGTTGAGAGCTGTGATTCTTGAGTCCACATTCTTGGCGTACCTGCAGTTTCAGTTATTCCTCCTCAAACCTAGCAGTGTCTTGGAGAAGCCCGTTCTAGCTGTTTGTTTCTTTTTGTAGCTCTATCTTCTCCCCTCCTCTTCACCCTTGATGAGTCTCAAGGGGAGAAGGAAATCACAGTTTTGATGAAGAGCTATTCTTCCAGCCGCTGCCTCACACTCTTGCACACACAATCAAAACTAACAATGGGACTCATCGGTGGAGCAGGCCAGGCAGCAAGAGATTGATTAGGGACTATAGGCCTCTCTTAACTCCTCATTCTTGTTAATTGCAAGTTATTTCGTTTCCATGTTTCGTTTTCAGTTTGCCCGTGTGGTTGTTGGATTGATTTCAGTGAGCGTGGTGCCTTCCTGCTGGATGATTGCTGGGATTCCTGGAAGGGTCAGCAAGCTCCCATCCTGGGCTGCACTAATCAGCAGCCTCTGAAAGGAGCTGCTGAGCAATCTATGGTGTTACAGCATCAAATCATGTGTTTAAACTTCCCATATGTAATTTTCTTTCAGAAATTGTAGCAGCCTGTTTTGTGTTAGAACCTAACTTTAATTCTTGCTACTGTCTTCAAATTGCTCTTCTTCATGCTTTTTTTTCTTCCTTACACTGTTTCTCTCTTACTGCATATGCTTCCCTGAACAACTTCCTATTCCCTGGTGCACATTAGGGCTTTTTCTTTTCTTGTTTTTGATGAAGCCAGTCATCTCGAGTATACTGGAAAAATCTAACAGAAGGTTTTCCTTTTGACTGCAGAATTTCTGAGCAAAGGCCTGAAGAGGCTGGGCTGAAGCCTTCTTCCAGCTGAACAAGGGGAATGTTCTCTGACTGCCTCTCTTCCCCACCTGTACAGGGTGGATGATGCTCCTGCCAATGTCACTGGGCTGTTGGGAGGGTGAATGGATGGTGCTGGTGGGGAGCACAGAGCACCTTTGGGTGGGAATACCCTCCCCTGTCACCTTCCAGTCTGTCACAGCACCCATTTCCAGTGTGTTGGCACCACTTGCTCCCCTTCCTGCCATGCCTGTGAGTCTGCCAAGGTAGACTCAGGCATTAATGATGATATTGGAGCATTATTCCAGTGACAGAGCTTTTCTGACTAGCAGAAGAATGGGATGAGTGAGGCTTTCTGAAAGGTCACAGATTTCTCTTGCTTGAGGGTGCATCCTCTCTGTTGGAGTGACTGATGTGTTACCTGGTGAGGCAGATGCAAAACCTGTCACTTCACAAAAGCTGGCCTGGTTTGGGACAGGAAACATGAGGTTGGCTCTCAGGTGCCCTCTGAGCTTCAGGCTGTCACTCTGCAATTCTGTTCTGCAGTCATCAGCTGCTGATCATCAAGTTGCTTTTGCACTTTCCCTTCTCTTTGCTCCTTCATTCCCCAAGGACACGGCAGTGCCACTGCAGTATTCCCAGGTTTCCCTCCCCACTGCCCCCTCCTGCTGCCACGAGCTCTGCCTCTGTCTGCACTTCTTTGGCAAAGGAGAGGGCACTGACAAAAGGCAGCTTTTGAGTTATCCACACCTGACTTCACCTGACTTCAGCCTCTGTCACTGTCAGAACTGCTGATAGCCTCATCCAGGCTGTGACAGGCACCAGCCATCCCTGCTGAAGGACCTCACCATCTTTCCTGGGCTTCTGGTGGCCTTGGCAGCATTAGATTTACAGCTGGACTCAAGGATCATAAGGGTCTTTTCCAACTTAAATGATTCTATGGTTCTGCAATAACAATAAGTAACAAAATTACTGGAATACACCTATTTTTTAATAAGTTTGCAGTTTATCTCCCTCCAAATTCCCTTCATTGAAATATCTCTTATTTAATGAAACAGCAGTGGCAGCCTGTGCTTTCTGGGGTGAGTCAGGTGCACCATCAAGGAGCACAGGTCACTGATAAGAATTTAATTAAACCAGAGCATCCAGGCTGGTGTAGCAACGAGTGTGGCCCTGGAGGGACATGGGGTGGACATGGGGCAGACCATGCTGTGCCCCAAAAAGGAGCTTGTGACTCCATCCTTGTGTCATGGGGCAGCACAGAGGTGGCAGCGCCAGTGAGCAGGAGGCAGAGCAGGTCCTGGCTGCCTTACCTGCTCTGATAAAACCTTCTCCCTCTTCTCTGCCCCCCACCACATGCCCAGCACCCGTGTGATTGCCGTTTGCTGAAGAAGAGCCGTTCTTGTCGCTGGCTGTGCCCGGTGTCCCGGTGGGAGATCTCGGGAGAGGAGGATGTCTGTGTCCGCCTGCTGCTGTGTTTGAACAGCTTACAAAGGACTGTGTGGGCTGGCAGGAGTGTGTTTACACAATGTGAGATGAAGACAGTGTTAAAAAAGGGATAAAGCAGAGGGGACATAAGCAAAACCCCTCCTGGATTCCTGTTCCCATCTCTGCTGCTAAATCGCAGCGTGGCTCTGCTCTAGGTCAGTCAACCTCCTGGTTTTCTCTGTCCCTCTCACCTGGTTGCAGGATGTTACAATTCATGGACTCACAGGAGTTTGAGAAGCTTTACAAAATGTCCTGTGGTGGGGAAGCTGCATGTGGATAGGTTGGAGATGTGACCAGGGCAGATGGCTTTTTCTTGCACAGCAAAGGATGTG